AGGGGGGGGAGGGAGGAGAGAGAGAGAGAGAGAGAGATCGCTATTTATTGAACGCATGGGAGAACATGTCCTCAAGCGTTAAACGCTACAATTATAAAAAAAAAGTACAATAACTTGTTAATCTCTATTTGTCAATAATTTGAATCGCTGTTTCATAAGAATATTATTTTCTAGAATTCGATTGATGTTCCGTTGTAATGTTGTTATTTTCTAATTATTTTCTAATTCTATTTTGTTATTTTCTAATTATTTTCTAATTCTATTTTGTTATTTTCTAATTATTTTCTAATTCTATTTTGTAGTTTTCTGTCTTTCTTTACTAACTTTTTTCTTTACTAACTCTAACACTTTCATATAACGATAATGTATTAATCGACCTATATTCACTCTTTTTCTGTTTTTTTCTTTGATATTGATATTACTCTAGATATTTTCCATCCATCGAGACAAAAGCCCTTCATCAGAGATTTACCAATTCTTCTTTTATTACATGAGAGGAAAAAAGGGGAAAGAGAAAAAAGAGATTGAAAAAGGAAGGGAGGGAACGCTCAAGAAACACGATATTGAATACACATATCGTGAAGAACGTATTAGTCCGCTGACTAAATTACTAGAATGAGTATGAGATTATAATTTGAAAAAAAAAGATTTATGACTTTTTCGTAATATTTTTTAACTGTTTGTTAATTTCAAAACACATTATATAGGTTTTTTTAGAAATATAATAACATTTATAATAAACCTTTTTACGATTTCATATCATATGTAGTTTATACATAATCGCTATATTATGTATAAATGATATTTTCCCTAAATATTTAATTTTGTATAGTAGCGTTATTATGTGCACAGATAATGCGCATTAACAATGAAATGTATCGGCAATATTCATAAATACAATTTTATCGTCATAAAGTTCACGGAACGCATATATCTGCGTATTTTAAACACACTTGATCACGTTCTGCGGATCACTGTATTTATTAGTATGAAAGCCCGTTACGTCATGAGTCAATAGAATTTTGCTGGCAAATACAATGTCAAATAATGCTTGTTGCCATAACAAATCCGTAATATAGATCAAATAGATCGATCTTATATATCGATCGATATTGAATTATTTTAGAAATGTACAGATAATTTTCTTTGTATCTTTTTTATAGATTCTACTTCATAATAGACTCGCTTGTTGATTCACATCATTTTGTTAGAAAGTTTAAGAATTTTTACTTAACATTTATACAAACCTTTTATACAGTTTGAAAAATATTTTTTTTATAGAAAATTTTCTATATAATTTTGAATTACGATATTTTATTGTTTTTTTTTTAACGTAATAATTAAAAAATCGTTACATGGCGGCAAAATTGATCTTTTAACTCACTCAATCGCAGTTATCAGATAGATTTGAGTGATAGATATCCTGAATTAAGATGAAAAGGAATTTTATTTGTAACGTGGAATCCGTCGCGATTAATAAGTAGCAAAGTAGTTAGCTACGCTATCCACTGCGCGACAAGTGACGCGGAGAAACGTAAAGGGAAAACGATATTTGTCCGTCGCTGTTTGTCTCCTACCGGATGGCGTACCGGATTTTGCATAATCGGATAGGCACTTTTGCGCGACCGAAAGGGTGCGCATGATCAAAATAATTCTGCGCGTCGCGGTTTGTAAATAACGCCGCACGCCGCCGTCTATTGTATCGCGTTCCCCAATATGCACGCGCATTCCCACGGACATAACACGTGTGGGAGTCGAACGTGGTTCGTGAATACAGTCAATCACGGCAATTTGCATCTCTCCTGTCTGCCGCGTGTTCCCTCGGCCTCCTCCTCCGCCCCCCCCTCTCCCCCCTCTCTCCCCCCCCCCACGCCTGCCTCTTCCCTTGTCTCTCTGTGTGTTCTCATCTCCATTATCTCTATCGGCTTGTCAAACCTTGTGCCTTTGGCGCAAATCATGTCTGATTGAGATTTCGGGCCGGACTCGTGAATAGAACTTGATTTATCCGTACGCACCCGTCGGCAGATCTCCCCCCCCGGAGATGGATCGCGTAATCTCGAGCGTATTAAACCGCTGGCTGCACCCCACGCACGCGCGAGGATGCGTAAAGGAGCGATAATTTCGAATAATTCATCGAATAATTTTCATAAATCCTTCGGTTCGAGCGGAAAGAGAAATTTATGGCTCCGAGTTAGAATATTTTTTTTATAGCCAATTGCAATTCTATTATTTTACATCGTGTTCACGGTATTTTACTGTTATCTTCTAATGTTTTGCGATATTTGGTTGAACGCCTTTGTATACTCGCAGTTTTATGAGCCTCTAAGTATTCAAGTATCTTCGAATCTCTCCTTTGTTTGTCGTAAAAAGGCAATGCTATTTTGTTTAAACGCACAAGTTTCGGGAAAAAAATGTATGCGGCGTAATAAATCCACAAAGTTCATTCTGACGATGTTTATCGCTTCCATTACTTTCGGCGCCAGGCGAAATGGGGCCTGCAGCCGGGGCGATGTATCGTGATGCATCGGGCACGATGATAGCGTAGAAAAATATTGCTGCAATAAATTATTTAGAATAAACCGGGGGATCGATACGCAATATCGATGTCAGCAAAGAAACTCGATTATCTCGGCAACTAAATTTGCGAGTATATTTAATTTATATATCCCACACATGGATATACAAACGTGGCGTGCAACGAAACAATCAATCAGAAAAGGAACAGATCAATCGATATTGACTTAATATGTTGCTTTTAGAAAATAAATTAGGAAGATAGAAATCTTGTAAGAGAGGAAGGAGCCTTTTCTGTCTCATAAATAATTCGATATAACGCGTCATTGTTTTAACATTATTGTTATTAAAAAGTTATTATCAAATTAGTTACTTAATCACTGAAAAACTTTGAAAGAAAATTAAAAATTTTTTTATATTACGAGCTTTGTACACAGAAAACAACAATTTTGCTGAAAAATTTAGTCAGATCTGTAAATAATTCTGTTAGATCATCAAAATAACTAGGATATCTAAGTGTGATGATAATATTGTAAAAAAATTTTTATATTTTCGCAATTAATTTGAATATCCCCACGTAACTTGTTTTTATGGTTTCAATAAAATTATTTTCAGAGCTGTATATCTAACCTAATATATTTTAGCAAAATTATTCTTTCGATGTATATGCAACATAAATGACCGCTATAATTGCCGATGTTTACGATGTAATGACCGACAAATGAAAAAAAAGCAAGCAGTTATTCCTTTTTATTTCTGCCGGAAAAATTCAGGGAAGAAGAGTTTTCCAGACTTAGGACTAGCTATAACACCGCAAACACATTGCTGCACGTCCGGAACACCGGTGCACCGCAGCCGTTTTCGTTTTAATTCAAGTGCACGGCTGGCATTAGCACCCCGTGGAAAAAGACAGGACTATGCCTGGGCGATACGCGGCAGTAGTCGTTCGTTTCGCGCACGTGTGCAACGGGCTGACAGTATAACGGCGAGCCACGGTGAAGTCCGCGACGTCCATGGAGCCCCGTGTATTCCCCTAAAAATATTGTCCGCGTATCCATCGTAAAGAACTTGCGAGAAACGAGACAGAATTGGTTTCAGCTGCGCGTCGTCCGGCGCGACGTTTTATCTTTATCGTTCAAAATTTATATTAGTGGTACAGAGTACAAAATTTTTATTTTTAATGGTACAAATTAGTAAAAAAAAATAGACACTAAATTATTGAATTTAGCTTTGTTTTGATTTGATTTTGTTTATTTGATCTTGCTAGCTTATGGGTAGCTTGGGGTAGTAGACCTATAAGAGATATAATTGGTTTCGAGTGTGGGAAGCGAAAGGATTCTCTTTTGGATATTAATAATGAACAATAAATTTTATCAATAGAACAGATATTAATAGGGCTCGCTACTTTTAGTAAAGATCGTTTAAGTATATTGATTACTTTATTTATAATATTCTGTTATATTGATCAATTTACGTAATGAAGGTTTAATTAAATCAATTTTATTAATAGTATATCGTGAAAATATATGGGTATTAAAGAAAGATGGTTATAAAAAATATATATAAATAGAGAATTATTAGTGGTACAGAAAAAGATTATTATTAATTAAATTTGGAAAATTATTTTATGACGAATAGTATCATAATTTTGTTTTTTTAGAGCAAAATAAAAAAATCTTTCATACATCGAATTTTTCAATCAAAGTTTGTTGTGACAAATGAGGAAGAAGAGAGAGAGTTAATCCACACATATAACTTATAACATAAAAGTTATTATAAAAAGATTTATAAAAGTTATGTTCAAGTGCTAAGCTCATCAGATAGCTAAGTTATAATCGGCGAAAAAAGTTTGCAAGATTTTAATCTCATTCACCAACGTGATACGTTTTATTCTCATGTGTGTGTGTGTGTGTGTGTGTGTGTGTGTGTGTGTGTATATTACATTTAACGAAAGCAAGTAGGAAAAACATTCTTATAAATTATTCAACATTTTATCTCTAAATCGAATATATTTTCGAGATTCGAGTACGAATTACATATTAAACAGAAATATAGAAAATTATCACTATAAAAGATAACATTTCCGTGCAAAATAATTTTCAAACCGTGATAGTACATTAAACTGGTAATACATGAAATGTATAAGTAACTAGTAGATAATGAATTTAAGAAGAATCAAAATAATGTTTTGATTCGCGTTTTGATGTTAAAATCGACCCTTTTTCTCGTTTTGTTGCAGAAGTCGAGGAGCGCTTCAGCGGGAAGGCGCGCGGCGGTAAACTAGCGCGTCGTGCGCGCTCCTTCAAAGAGGACTTTCTGGAAAAGCTCTCCCACATGCGTTCCCCTGGTAGCGGTAGCGGCGGAGGCAGCGGGGCGGCTACGAGGGCCGCCTCGCCCTCGTCACCGCGTACGCCGCGGGATAAGAGCGCCCCGGGTTGCAACGATTCCGGCACCACTCTGGATAAGAATCCCCTGCGCGATCTGCATATCCACGTACGGCAGGTGCAGCTAGCACTGCTACACTTCCGGGATGTCGTATCCAAGAAGAAGCTCGAGATGCTGCCCGGAAACGGCACAATCGTCCTTGATACTGTTACCACGATACACAACGCTTTGAAATCCTATCTGCTCTATGAGAACAGGTGATTGTTGAGTTGTGTGTGTGTGTGTGTGTGTGTGTGTGTGTGTGTGTGTGTGTGTGTGTGTGTGTGTGTGTGTGTGAAATAGTCTCATCTGAAGTAAAGATAGAATAGAAAAAAATATTGAAATTATGTTTAAAAAGTTGATTGCTTGCTTTATTAAATTATATTATTGATTATGAGCATTCCGTTTGATAGGAACACAATATTTTTTTTCATAGTTTCTACATTATATATTTATACTCTTGCAGTTCCACATTGGGATCCGCCACGAATCAGGTGTACCAAGCGTTAGCGCAATTGCTGAAACTCTGCGACGACGTATTGCTGCATGGTGATCAATCTTCTGCTTTAGACACCGAAAACGTGACGCATGTTATTGGATTGGTCGAGGAAGCAGTGAAAAATCTAGTAGCACTGGCGCACGAGAAAATTGCTAACAAGCAGAAGCCTTCACCTGCTACAAATAATAATAGGTAATTTGTAAAAATAATTATAATTGTAAATAAACTCGTTAAAACTAAAATAGGAAGTATATTAGAAATATACATGCGCGCGCGCGCGCGCGTGTGTGTGTGTGTGTGTGTATATATACAATGAATGTTTTTAAAATGGAATTGGGAAAATAATATGAAGTAATTTAATTATAATATCAATGATGATACTAAATCCAATAACACATTATAAATTATAGAACTTCCGGATATGGGTCGGAACTGACGCAAAGAAATTCTCTGCCGGATATACCCCTGACACCAAGAGAACGGCAAATCTTGGAGCAAACGGCAGCGAGTAGTAGTTTGGTTCGCAGCTCGCACAGTTCCGAGTCGATTTTACGGGATTCTAGTCCACCCCCAAAACCCCCGCTGCCTGACAGGTAACATTCGATTTCGTTATAAGAAAAAGAATAATAAATCACTTGTCTTTGGAAGTTGAAGAAATACTCGATCTCTTGTAGAACAAACGTATGTTTGTCGGAGGAAAACAACTCTTTTGGTACACCTCCTCCATTACCACCGAAGAGAAGAACAAGGGCCCAACAACTTCTGGATGAATCGGAGGGTCTTTTGACATCTAGTCTTGATAGGGTATCTCTTCGAAGTCGATCTCCAGAGGATTCGTCGTCTCTTCTGAGCGCATCGGCCGGTAGTTTGGATTCAGCTCTGAATCATTCCCGAGACGAGGACGAGATTCGAGCTATAATGGGACCAAATGACGAATCTTTGAATGATAGTATGGACCTAAGTCTTATGGCTACTATCCAAGGTAACGTTTCTCTAAAATATTATTCTTAATAATATTGTTAAATATTGTTTGAATATCTTATCTTATATCAAAACTTTATTATTAATAACATATAGTATATTATAATATATTTTTGAATAATAAATAATTTTAATTATTAAAAAATAATTTTTTACGTATATAATATTTTAACAAAATTATATTATATTATTGCGGATAACGATGGAATGCTAGAAATAAAATTGTTGTAAATACATTTCCATGTAAAATGAGCATAGTCCATGGTCGACGCTTACTCAGCATATTAGTTTGGTGTTTTACTTACTTTAGTTTTTACATCAGTCTACAAAGGAACATTTGTTCGAGCTGTACGCGTTTCTCTACGAGCAGAGTTAAATATTGTATTAATATTAAAAAAAGAAATCCACAATTAAAATCTATAATTTCTTCGCTTTATATACCACAATTCATAGTAAGTACACAAAGTATATAAACTAAATTATGAAAACATTTAAGAATTTTTAAATAATATATTAAATACATGTATTTCATAAAATAATTAATTTTCATGCTGTTTTTATTAAAAACTACTTTATTAATATTTCCTGAGGAGTACATGTATTGTTATTATATATTTATAATAACTTAAACTGATTTGCTTATACATGTAATTTTTATATTTATCACAGTGGTACATAGAATGTACAAATTTTTATATCATAAAATATTTTGTTTATTATAGGCATGCAAGTTAATGGTACTTCAAACTGTAATTGCTGGGATGGTTCTGAAACTAATATACCAAGTACTATGTTGCTAGGCCAACAAACACCTCAAGAAATACTTAATCCTTTCACTGGTGTGTAAATATTTTATTATATAAATAGTTTATTTATGAAGATTGATAAATCAATAAAATTTATTAACTAAAAATTAAAATTATATATTATAACAAATTTAAAAAATCTTATCTTAATAACAAATTAAGAAAAGCAAAATTTATCTACTGCCAAATTGTATAATTGTTTTTTACTGAAATATTTCTGAAGTAGTCATAAATAAATGGGTAACCATAAAAAATTATTTATTATTAGAAAAGGAAAGAAAAAGTGCGAGAGTTAAAATTATGCAAGAATTCTTGAAATAGTTAGTGGAGCAAGTTGCGTGGGTGGCATCGACCATCCGACCGCGTGAATAAACAGTACCTTGCAGATCTTTGCCCAATGCACTGTGACATCCAAGCGAAGTTTTATTCTGTTTTTTCCTTTATATTTAAGTGTTTGCAACGCTATTATAAATATCTAGAAATGTCACATAAATCTAATTTTAATTGGAAAAGTGTCAAAATGTTTTTTCGTAAGAAAAATGTGACGAATCTTGTATATAATTTAAGATTTGTTTTCTTTTCTTAGATTGCTCTAAATAATCTTGATTTTGAATTTATTTTGTTCTAGGTATAGAAGAAAAGATGGAGCGACTATCTACTCAAACGCAGGAATCGGGTTTTGTTTCTATGCATTCTCAACGAAGTTCATCCCAAAGTTACACCACTGCGTCAAAGAGATCATCACAACAGAGCAGCATTAGTTATAATTCTCAATCATTTAGTGCACAGCAACAGTCATTTTCTCAGACCAAATTATCCTCGGACAGTAATGGCTCTATTTTTACACAGAAGATGATGACTAGTTCGAAAAGTACTATTAGCACCACTAACGTATCTGGAAATGGAGATCCAGTTTTATTAGAGAAACTGGTAAATGTGGGTGTTGTCACGTTTTCTTTTTGTTTTCTTTATTTCTTTTTTATCTTTTTTGTGATTTGTTTTATAATTTAATTAATTGATGTATCTATGGCAAACGTAGGATATGGAATCGATAGCTACATCTGACTCTAACGGAGCGCCTCCAGCATTGCCAGAGAAACGATCCAAACGAAGAAAGGAACGACAACCGTCGCAGTACGACAACGTACCAGAAAATGAGCATTTATCCACATGTACTTTGCACACTAGTAACGAAGATAATCCGGACGCCAATAAACCACCTCCTCTGCCTCTAAAAAAACGGCACAGTAAGTAATAACAACTATTAGTAATTTTTAGCAGATATCAATATGCGGCAATGAGATAAAGAAAATCAGCAGAATATTTAATAATGTTGATGGTTGGTGTTTTCTTTCTTCGCTGTCAATCTGAAGAATTTTGAGAAATAAACACATTAACAAATATTTCTTGAGAGCTAGTATAATAATCTTTTGCATAAACAGTTTATAAAGGACTTTATGTTCAATTAATACAATCTATATAGTAACTGTCATACGCGCAAATAATATAACCAAATAAAATAATATAGTTGACATTCCAAATTACACTTGTTAGTAATATAGGTTAAAACTGATGCAATGTTTTGTATCCCCCAGTGTTCCAATCAGTGGCATATTCTGGTAAGTGGGATCCTGCCCACATAATTCAACTATTCCCTCGGCAAACACTTTCACGCTAAGTTGATATCCTATGTTTCACACATTTATATCAGATTTTAATTCCAGGCTTCTTGCGGCATGTTTATTATTGTTATTCTATTTCTATTACATTTTTATCTCAGATATTTTTAATACATGATGTTGAGATTTGATATTGAGCTTCAATTTTTATTAATAACAGCAGCTTATTCATGGCTTATTTTTGATTCGCATTACAAATATAATATTGTGAGTTTTAATTATGATGTTGAATATTGTATGTACTAACTAAAAATTATTTTTTTAATATAACATATATTGTAGTCCAGTATAATGTATCATATAATGATTGATACTATTTCTATATCTAATTTTAATATTTTTAATATTTTAACTTTGATATTTGATCTAAAATTCATCTAAAATTTTATTCTATATTGCATATTTTATGTTTTTATTATATAGGAACACATGCCTAATATCTTTTTGTATTTGAGATACAAACAATTTTGCAAATATTATCTTTATTAACATGAAAGAATGAAAGACAATCCTGGTGAGTTTATGTAGGCGTTATAATGTTTTTCTAATTAATTTGACCTTTCTCTCTGACAATCTATTAATAATTGTTTTATCAGTTGTTAAACAAAGTAAAACTTCTTCTGTCCTTACACCAAGCCAAACAGACTATAATTATATATAAAGGATAAAGTAGTATTAATAAAATATAATTAAGTCTGCAATTATGAGCACTTCTTTCTATTGTACAATAGTTGTTAAATAATAGTATGATATAAAAATAAAATATGATATTTATAATGATACATAATATACTATTTAAAAACACTCGAGTGAGTTTATCCTTCTTGTTTTTATAAATGTCCCTAATCGAAGTAACAATTACACAACAAGATTTGCTTGTGCATCAATATTTTTATGTGATCCACACCATGCTCTTTAATATTTTATTGCGATATACATCGTGCTTGCATTCATCAATTATATTATGCCATTTAAAAAATTCAGTTTTTACACAAAAAAATTTACAATAATAATAGTTATTCTTTTTAAAATCATGTTAATCTTTACATTTGCATATATTTCAGTTATGGCGTACATGGAGATGTTTGGGAACTGCTCCCATAGTAATAACGATTTCATCTCGGGTCTTGGTACTCGTCATTCTGTAGCAGCCTATAATTCGATGCAAGCGGAATGGCAGCAGCACGAAATGTCTCTTACCACAACGCAATCGTGTTCCTTTATGACACATACTGTGACTGCTCTACATGATAGCTCAAGGTATTATTGTGTAACATACAGACATTATGTACATACATTTTGTCATTTGTATGTGCTTTTACTATACAGAATTATTGAAAAAAATAGGTTTATCATAAAGTCGCCTTTTTTTCTAGCCTTTCTGTGACGACAACACCGAGTTCGGTAGAAGCAACAAATAATTCTAGTCTACCTCCGGCATTACCACCAAAGAGATCTCGTTCCATCAAATCAAACATTACACCTCCACCAATATCACCAAAACCTACTATAAGCATGCAAAATATTCATAACTCGGATCCCATCGTGACGTCAACACCTCTAAAATCAGAGGAATCAGCATACGCACATGAAAAGAAAGATGTTACACCTTCGACTCCAGTAAAATTGGTAAACATTAATGTAATAATTTAACTATCATGTTGTTACAGAACTGCTACTAATAATTAAACACTTATGATCGTACTCGTTTTATTTTAGAATAATAATGTTATTATGGATACAGTATTACCATCGTCTAGACCTGCTAGTAATGCACTCTCTTCCATGTCAGTTGATGAAAATACTCTTGAACTAAGGGATATTGATCAAGATGATAGTATTTTAGATGAATTAGATATTAGTAAATACTTGGTATTGAAAAAACCAGATGAGGAAGGTCCAGACATACGTGGTGGACATCCGGATGCATTATTAATTCATGCCACAAAAGCGAATAAACATGGTATATATTTTAAATAAATATTACAATTTTTTTTAATTAAATATAAAATATACAAAAGTTTTAAATTTTAATAAGCTATTTAATTTTATTATATTGATAGTTATAGTTATGATAGTTATAGATTAATTTCTAAATGTATTTATTATATTATTTTTTTTAATCTTTTTATGCTACATAGATGAAAAAGAATCAGGTAATAAGAAAATATTTGTAATATGTCATGTAAAAAATGTTATATTAATAAAGATTATAGATAAAGGTGAATTTACTAAGTGAAAATAAAAATGATGCATTTTTTACAGATTTTCTGTATCAAGAAGCATTTTTAACAACATACAGAACTTTCATGCAACCATTAGAATTAATTCGAAAATTACATAGACGTCACCAACGTTTTTCATGTTCTCCAGATGTTGTCAAGCAAAGAGCTGCGCGTGAAGCGTTTTCTTTACTAGTTAGAGTCGTTAGTGATTTAACGTAAGTAAAGATTGTTACTTAATTATGTTGTTATACTCTTTTGTATAAAGTGTGATAACAATTTATAATATAATTAATTATTTTACAGAATATCTGATCTTGACGATATTCTTTTGCAAACTTTAATGGAATTTGTACAGCAATTAGTATGCAGTGGAGATCTCACTATGGCCAAAGCGTTGCGAGTTAAAATTTTAGAGAAGCACACTATGAAGCAATTACAAGCAGCACAACCAATTCTCTCATCTCTAAGTGTAACAACGAAACAAGCTTCCCTATTAGATTTTAAAAGCGAACAGATTGCGGAACAAATGACACTACTTGATGCTGATTTGTTTATGAAAATAGAAATTCCGGAAGTGCTTATTTGGGCGCAAGAACAGAACGAAGAGAGAAGCCCGAATCTCACGAGATTTACTGAACATTTTAATAAAATGTCGTATTGGGCACGTTCTAGGATTTTAGAACATCGATTAGAAAATGAAGCGAAAGATAGAGAAAAATATGTTGTAAAGTTCATCAAAATAATGAAACATCTTAGGAAGATTAATAATTTTAATAGCTATCTTGCATTATTATCTGCATTAGATAGTGCACCCATCAGGAGACTTGAATGGCAAAAACACATTACGGAAGGTCTTAAAGAATATTGTGCTCTCATTGATAGTTCTAGCAGTTTCCGAGCTTATAGGCAAGCTCTGGCAGAAACACAACCGCCATGTATTCCTTACATGTAAGAATATAAATATTTATTATAGAAATATGAAACTCAGAAATATGAAACTACATTTTTTTTATCATCGAAAACATCTATATTTTTTATTTTTTTAGTGGACTTGTTTTGCAAGATCTTACGTTTGTGCATATTGGAAATAGCGATTTGTTACCAGATGGCACTATAAATTTCTCCAAGAGATGGCAACAATTTAATATTGTTGAAAACATGAAAAGATTTAAAAAGGGGTAAACATTTGCTCATTGAATTTTTAATAATACTTAATGCACGTAACTATTGCTTATATGCGATTATTATTTTGCAGCACGTACTCTTTTAAGAAACACGAACGTATTATGACATTTTTCAACAACTTTAGCGATTTCCTTTGCGAGGAGGCGATGTGGCAAATTTCCGAAAGCATCAAGCCACGTGGTGGCAAGAAAGCACAGCCACAAAACTAGAATATATCTAACCCTTTCACTGCCTGCGTCTCGAAAGGCTGAAACACAGTGAATTAGGAAGTTTATATTTATGTAGGTGTATACTTTTTTGTGGGAAAAAAAAACAAGAGAAAATTTTACAACGCTCTAAGAGCGGTGAAAGGGTTAGCAAGTCTACCCCCATTCGACAGCCTCTGTGAGGTCATGTCTTATATTATTAAATTTCGTGAAATTTTAGTAAACAAATCTATGAACTCGGTATTTAACGCATTCATAATGCATATTTAACTTAAAATAATTACGTTTGTGCGAGCATCAATCAGAAATGAAGAATGCCAAAACTCGGATTCACTGGAAAAAGTTTCGGTACGTTAGGTAAACTTAATATCTATCCCAGTGCATTTTCAACAGTCTTTCCGTTCACTACAAAGCCAATATAACATATTTACTACGAGGATATGCAATCTATACTTAACTACAAGTTGTAACGACATTTATCGTAATATTAATGAAAGAAACCCCGATCTTCAGCTGTTCTAGATACATTTAAGAACACTTTATTTATTTGTCTTTGCTAGCGAATTGTATAAAGTAGTACGTGTTCTTTTGTTGTCCTTTTTAATTTATTTAGATGTATGTGAACGTCCATTTCTAGCTTTACGTAGATAAGCGAATTTTCGAGCGTCAACAGGACACTGTTGATTACACAAGGATGAACACCAATTACGTTGATTAATGTAGGGCCATTGTAGTCTCGCATTTGCGTTCTGATACGCGCGTATCGAGACACATGGCACGACTGAGCGCAACTGTTACATATACTATTGTATATGATGATAGAAAAAAATGCTTTTTTTGTTGGCAACTTGTTAATAGGTCTCCGAGCTTTCAGCTTTAAATCACATATGATTACCTAGCAATTAGGTAAAGTAAATATGAACTATATAACAAAAAATATTAATACAAGTTTAATTTAACTGCATAATTTATCACAGTTATAGATAATTCTTTTAATTAAAAAATCTTGATCTGACTTCTAAATTATACGCTTTTTTCATAATACATTCCGTAGAACAAAGGGAAAAGTCGAATTAATTTGATTACTATTGAAAAATATAAATTTGTATTTTTTCTAACATTTAACATGTATCGATACAGTTTTTACCCATATATATAAGAGTGTGAAAGATATTGCCTATAACAATAATGTATCATTTTGCGTTACTTATCTTAAAGAATGAATCAAATGAATGAATCCATCTATTTATTCTTTTTTAGCATTTTATTTGACAAAATTGTTTTATATTTTTTTTATAATAATGGCTGCGCGTATCAATTATAATTCATTAATTTTCGAACTTTATCCTTGCTGTGCATACACATATGTTATAATATTTAATAATACCTACGGCAACAAAAATGGCCTAATCATTTAACAATTGACGTTATTCTAGTACAAAATATAACAATCCAGACAAATTAATTGCCAGGATAATACAAAATTTTAAAAGTAGTGACAAAGCTGCCATATATAAATAAAATTTAATATCAATAGATTGAATTCTACAAAGTAAATTCTTATCCACAGACTTAGGTAGAAAAGTAAAATCTACGTAAATCTTTTCATCCTTGACATTAATTATACGATTATTTCATACCTGTGGTAATTGCATATTTAGAAAAAGAAAGATTCTTGTTTAAAAATTAATGTGATAAAAATTGGCTAATATGCAATGAAATTGTATATAAGACTTTTGTTCATGTCATTAATTGGCGATGTAAAATTATTGTAGAATTCTACGAAGAAATAATTAATCATTACATGATATGTAACAAGTACGTAGCAAGTAGTATGTGTGTGTGTATGCATACTATATTTATTATATATATATATATATATATATATATATACACACACGCACGCACGCACACACACACGTATATTTAGTATTACTTCTATAATATATATCATAATTTGGTTTATACCATACACGAATGAATGTGAGTGTGCGTCTTATGGTTTCGTCCATTTTAGCTAATATCAAATCGTTTACTTGATGTAGAAAATAAGCAGAGATCTATTAATGCTGTAAATAATTTAATTGTACACATAATTGAATTTACGCGCGTGTATCTACCATGTATCGATAATTGTAAATGTACAGTGCATTTTATTGAGCTAGTAATTCCTAAGTTGATGAATCATTGTGATGTCATATTAAGTCCGCACGTAGACATATGCATGATTTTTCTTTTTTTTTTATACCATCTTCATTTAATGCAAATTAAACAAGACAAATAATTATATATAGTTGATTTGTATTTTATCCATCTCTTTTCATTTCTAACAGATTATCTCTTGAGGCTATCTCTTGAGACCTATATTTTTAACTATATTTTTGCATATAGATTTTTAACGGCATTTTTACGTTCCGACGTTGATATACAATTGTTTATATTTTGTACAATATTTTTGGAAATTCTGGTAATAGTCGAAATATCTTCCTAAGATAATTGTATGTTTTAGGGATTATATATAATTTTTATAATTACGCGTAAAACTTTTGTTGGACTATTGGCAGAATTTCACTTTTATCTATTACATACATACGGACATATAAGCAAATACATACATAATTTTAAGTACCATATTACCAAAATACGAGTGAGATGACTCATTGAATGTGCAACGAAGAAATTAGATTCGATTTATCGATTAGATAGGCAATTATTAAGCTGCTTCGCAAGTGGGAAATTAAGTTGCTAAGAAGCCGGGAGACAAATTATGTTTCCTTACAACTATAGACTAGGCGACAACATAACTGTATCTTTTTTTATCATTTGCTAAATGTTTTAGCTTCGAAAGAACAGTCTGTAACGGAAATGGACTCTAAAGAGCAATCGCTGTTAACTTTTAAAATCACAATCGAATACATGTAACTTATTGCATATACTCGGACTCCGAGGCGAGGCTTATTTGCAATCTCGAAGATCAAGTTGTATAATATTTATTGCATTGTATATATACACACATATGTGTTGTTAATCTAGTCTAACAGTACGAAACGAACTGCGCTGTCAATATTTAAACGTCAATATACTTCAGCATTGAAAGTTCTAAAATACTAAGTTTTTTTCAGAAACTTTTTCAAGAAAACGGGTTTGCGTCGAAATTGTTTGGGCTTCCCTACTTTCTTTCGGCTGGGCGCGCCGGAATTTCACGCGCAGCCGAAACCCAATGAAATTAAATCAAATAACTCTCGCCGAACAAGTGGATTTAATGTTCTTCTGCGTGTTGACCGTTGAAGTGGAAAGTGATAAAATGAAAAGCCCCGCGCAAATCGTCGCGGCGAGAGTTCTGTCGATCGACGATAGAAAAATCTCGCTCTCGATTTGGGCTTTTACTTGTAGCGAATACCGATAGGTAAACCGAAAAAAAAAAAGTAATAATCTCGCTATCGATGTGTTTTACCAATCCCTCGTCGACAGATACATGTATGTAACTTTGCACTCGCGTAGATCTCACGGTAAATATTAGGAAGTAATATTATATCACGCATACATAAAAGTACGTATCGACGCTTCTTGTTGATTTGCGTTCCGTTATTTATTGCGACAAAGACGACATATCCGTAACACGCTACTTATAAAACGGTAAATATTAGAAAACGAAGAAGGAGACTACAAAGTGAAGAAGACACGTGTGTATTAAAACACTGTCTGAGATAATACAATCTTGATGGTCCAGAAACTAATTCAGTTGTTTACGCCGCGTAATCACGAGTAATCACAACAACAATTGTAACCATTTTTTTCATTGTATGCACATGCGCAAAGTGCAAAAAAAAAAAAATACATATTTCAAATAAGATCGTTAATTGCGTTGAGAAACTACTGTTTCAAACTAAAAGTACGAAACTAATCGCGATTTGTGAAAGAAGTAGCTTCTCAAGGTTTGCATACAACAGACCATTTGTAGAAAATAAAGATCTGAATTTGCGTTTAATATTCATGGATAATAGTCAACAAAAAATTAGCAATTCCAGCTGACGAGAAGAGAAACGAAAGAGAAAGTGTACCGGAATAAAATCGATACTTCGAATGCTCATATTTTGAATATAAGCAATATTTCGCTGCATTTAACAATAAATTTTCCCCTCGGGATCGGGTCATACACGAATTACAGCTATCTTGCACAATTGCCAGGCGATGATAAGAATGCGCAATCTTTGGACTTCATTAATGTATAATAATTATAATACACCGCGACTGAGAATTTCAAATTGATCCAGACACCTGTTTCCTCAATTGCTTTCTGATCGACGACATTGCATCTTTGTATATTCGTGATACACGTAATATCCAGTCGTATATTTATCAGAAGCATACAAGCGTACTTTTTACTGTTAGAGATGTCGAGAGGGAGAGAGGCGGGGGGGGGCGAACAGAGCGCAACACCTTCATTCAATATTTACGGAATATGTGTCTCATACGTAGGGATTTATGAAAACTGTCGAGTATACACACACACACACACACACACACACACACACACACGCACGACGGAGGTATGACTAATTAGTACGGTAAGGTAAAACGAAAGCGGACAATTGATTAAGCATATCATTCGTAAGTACGTGATATTTACTAAGTGTCTCCGCGACGTCTTTCTCGACTTACGCTGTAACGATTTTTTAATCGCGGCAGGTTTTAACCGAAACACAACAAGGAAATGATATACATCGTGCTCACGCGTTTCATTGTACAATTTATTCCGTAGCCTATCGTCATATTTTTCTATCTGTATTTTTAGTACAGTCATAAATACCGCGACGTACGTCACCGGGTACGACCGGGTACAGTTTGTACGAGGACTTTTCCATGTCAATGCAATTGATGTTCAGAAAAAAAAAAAACAAAAAAACGTTAACTTCACGAAACTTATATATAAATATATATAATGCGAATATATTTTTTTCTCTTTCCTTTGTATTACGGATACATTGATGATTTGTATGCATAAAAGTTTTGGATCAAACGCGTTATTTTCTTTGTAATGAATGTACGAAGAAATGAAATAAAAATGTGTTAGTCGATGGTATACTTCCATAGTTTCGTTAGTAACTATTAAAGATTCCGCATCTCCCGATAATCTTCAATAGAAGCACATACGAAATAATATATTTATGAAAAATGATGATCACGATATCTAAGTGAAATATTAGAGTTCTTTAAAACGATTTTTTATATTATTTAACCAATCTAATTATAAATCTTTCAATTCTTAGCTGCAAACACGAAGTGTTTGCTACTTATAGAAAATGTTTTATATCTCGCAAAATCAGGATTGAATTGCAACAAGAGTTAATTTTAATAAGTAATTAATTAATAATTTATTTCTTCATAAAATATAGATTGAAAAAACTATAATACAAATAGAGAAAAAAAACTGATAATGAGTTTAAACATGGTAAAAATATCATAATAAAAAGACTGTTGATTGTAATAATATTCATACATTACAACTCATACATATTCATACATTATCATATTACATAACATTATCGTATTCTTTTAAATAAGTGTTGTGTATCTACATTGATGTTACTTGCTCTATTTTGAGTCCACTGGCTCAAACGTATAGTGTACTACACCTTTCTGTGGATATTGCTTTTCCATCTGAAACATATATCAATAAAGTAGTAAGATATTGCTTATCCATTTGTAACTTTTAATATTAAAAATATTATTTAAAGTATTGATAAATTCATACTCTTGGTATGAATGTTGGATAAGGTTCTAATAAGTGACGGATTATTCCAAGACCGATTATGGTCGCAAAAAATATTGAAATTGCTACAGCTGGATTGATTCTGTGCTTGCGACCATAATCATAACGATCCTCGCCCATAAGTTCAAAGTCTATGTGTAACTGAAAATAAAAATATAATATATGAGAATATAATTTTCAAAAATACCTTATACACAAGCAAACTCACCGGTTCATGATAATTCTTTTTGTATAGTGGTATGTCATATGGATAATATGGATCTTTAGCGATAGGTCCTACCATAGGTAACTTTGGATAATCGCCATAACCTTCTTCTTTGGAATAAGGTTTATAATCATCTGGATGCAAATGATATTTTTCAGCGATTTTATCATAATTCTTTTCTGAGTGCGGTCCCGCTCTCCAAAGATAGTTCCATGGTAATCCTGGTGGCAAATGATACAAAAGTTTTGGTCAGTTTCATTCAAGTTATATAATCAATAGAAGAAAAATAAACCATTCATATATACTTTTATATGCACCAGACTCTATGTCAAATTTGATGTCCATTGAATAATATTTACTTAATTATTATATAATAACAGCAGGTCCTAACCTGGTTACAATACTTGGCGCATAGCAGTTTTGTCTCTGCAGAACATAACGAAAAGCAAGGACATGCAATTACTTACTCTCTTTGTCGGAAGCGTATCTTGTTGCAGCATACAACAAACATGTTTTGTTTTTCAACAATTGCGTTGACAGTCCGCCAATCTTTCCAGAAAGAGCCATCTTACTGCTCCAAACTAGTAAGTTTTTAATTTCTATGACAGAAACTAGAAACAGGTAGAAATGCTGATACAATGATGAACAGATAGAGTGCGAAAAGTGTAGATGTAGATGATACGTGCATTATCTCTGAGTTTTAGGCTCTGCATATAATGGTGAAAGGGAATTATAAGAATAAAATATTAAATATTAAATAATAATTATTAAATTTTGGACCAATTTTGGAAATAAAAATTAGGAATGAAGATTAAACATGCATATGACTATGCATACAATGGAGGAAATAAAAATAAATATTAAATTTTGAAAATGAAAATTTGAAATAAAAATTAAATATAATTTATTTCGAATTTTTATTTCTAAAATTTAATATTTGTTCCTCTGCTTTTATAATATTTCCTTCATTATGCGTCAGACTCAACACATAAATAAATATAAAATATAGCTATACGAACGATGTTTTTTCTTCTGAATATATTCTGCGTATAAAAATATACAAATTTATTACAACAACATTACAGGAAAAAAATCGAAAAAGATAGCATTATTGGATATTTATTTCCTTTTTTATCTTTGATCTCTATGCCTGTTCCTTTTAACATGTGTTATCTTGAAACAAGATAAAAATTACAAAAGTGAAGAAATTTACTAGATTTAGACGTATGAAGTTGTAGATATTCTAGTGAATTTCCTCACTTTTGTAATTTTCGCTTCGTTTCAAGATACACAATCAACCAGCACTTCTTAATTGTTCATTTTTTTTCTTTATGTCACACGCATGCACAAGTGGGATGGATTCAGAAACATCGGATGTATCATTAATCTGTTTTTTGTAGCCGAATTAGCGTACATTGAAAATGAAATAAATATATATTTAAAATTTGACAAAAGCGAGACAGAAAATAATTAGTACAGGTCAATGGTAGGAACAAAAAACCTCATTTTATTTTTGTTGTTCATCGAACGTTAAACAAGAATAAAGTAATCTGAATGCATTCGTGTATATTTCTGAACTCTTTCATTAACCGAACAGCACTTTTTGCACTTTATTTGTACGCTGTCGATAAGAGGATCACAAATTTATTTTGTAGGAATCGATTAAAGGAACAATGTTTTTAACAAATATTATAAATATGCCAAAGACCGTAATATTTATATTAAAATTGATTAAGATCTATCGGCGATATAATCAATTTAGATGAATCAAAGGCGATCATATCCTCGGATTAGGTTAGTCTTTCTTAACATGTTTTTTTTAACCTCGTTATTTTACTCTGGAAAACATATTTCACTTCAAATATCGCGTGTGTCATGATACGTATATATTTCCTCCGAGGATTTTCCTCGAAGATTCGCTTCCGTTCGGCCCGCACGATTTGCAATTCGATATTCCTCACTGCGGAAGCGACGCAACCGCCATATTTAAGAGTCGAATCGGGAGCTCGTAGAAAGATGGCCGGTAGCGTGTGTCTCTAAGAGTTGATCGGCGCGACGTAGTTTTCGCGTGTTTCTGTATTTCTGATAAGAAGTGCGTGTGCGCGTGCAGTGATAGAAAGTGGAGATGAATCCGGGGTGTCTGCCGCGGTAACACAAAGACCGGAACGGTACGTAGAGCCTCGAGATAGGCGGCGACCGTTGCGTGCAACGGGATGTGCGCGCCTTAAGGAAACACCGCGCCGTGTCAGTCCGCTGCTTCGATTTCATCCGAGCTTTCCGATTCTCCGGTCGCAAGATTCTCGTTCCATTGTTCGTTTATCAGTCGAACCAGTCTGAACGGCACCCGGCGCGGTGTTCTTGATTGCGATGTGGCACTGTGTGTATGGCATTGGATGAGAAAGAGAGGGAGAGAGGGAGAGATACACAGAACATGTTCTGTCGTTAATCTTCTCTTGTTAGGATATAAAAATTTTATCAAAATAGTCGATATCTCTTGAATATGAGATCATAGATTTAGATACAATGAAAAGAAACAAGAAATAAGGAACAGGAAGTTAAAATTTTGGGTGTTTAAATTTTGACATGTAAAAACCCAAGTTTGAATACACAATCAAAGAAATGTCTATTAATTATTTATACTAATATCCATTTCTATCTATTATAGATTAACTTTAGTCTTGGTGAATTTCTATCATTGTGGATTAACTTTAGTCTTGAACATATATACACGGTTGAACATATTATCTTTATTTAATTCCAAGAAAAAGTTAAAGAGGAAATTAATCTGAGATTAAAGTTAATTTACGTTTGAAAAATGGACAAGGTGTTTTTTTATTGCTCAAAAATAATTTTCTATTTCTGAGTCTTTATATACTCTTAATTCTTTCTTCCATTCATTATGTCCGAATCTTATACCTTGCCTAAATATATCAGTCAAAATAATCTTATTGTAAAATATATTTCTTATACTTGTTAAGAATGTAATAGTTGAATGAACTTAGCTTTCTTATATTTTTGTAAATAGTAGATAAATTCAGAAGAAATTCTGTCACATTTATATTTATTATATTCCCTTTAGGAAGTGATCCTTGGATAAATTGGAATTTTCCAAGGGTAATAATATGGCAAGCCCTTCGCCACAATCTTCACCTATGCCACCTCCGCAAGCTCCTAGCCCTATGGGCCCTCCACAGCAGGCGCCATCTCCATCTAATGCGCAAGGCAGTCCAATGGGACCACCGCAGCAGCATCATCCTCATAGTCCGACGCAAGGTTATCAGAGTGGTCCACCAATACCACAGGGAGGACCACCCATGTCACAAGGAGGACCACCACAACAACCTCCTCCCCAACAACAAAGCTATCCACCTCATCCACAGCAAATGCCACCTAATATGGGTCCACAGGTATGTTAAATTTATTGACTACTTGATAACTCAAAATTTTTTCTCCAACAATTATTATTTATTATTTGGATAATTATTTGCATATGAGTATTGAGTTATGAGAAGAGGAAACAGAAATTTTAATATCACTCAATTGAGTTAAAAGTTGGATTGAAAGTTAGAGATAAATAAATATTATGCTTACTTATTATCAATATGAATATATATTTATTAATTCTAATATGACTATTGAAATATGTAATATCTAACAATATCAGTGCATATAAGAAATACAAGATCAGTCTACTAAAATATACTACTAAAATATAATCCAATATGAACTTTACTCCAGCTTATTATAATAACTATGTTTTTAACTGTGTTTTTAAATCTGCATACAATATGCATAGTTATATAATATAATATATAATATTCATAGCATATTCTATTATAATTAATCTAAGTTTTGATTGAGTATCTTGGTGTCGGCTTTTTTATGAGATTCACAAGTTGCTGTGCAATTTGCTCATTGCATGCCGCTATAACTCTTGGAGTCATTATATCCAGTTCTCCCCCTGTAAATTATATATTTTTGATCATTAAAGATAAAACAAAATTTTGCAAATTTCGAGGAATAATTAGAAATAGTAAAATTATAGAATGTAATAATATTATAGAATCTTGTTTGATGTATGTAAGTGACAAAAAAGTGATAATATTTACCAGCGGTATCTATTACAATTCCACCAGCTTCTTCTATTATTAATTTTCCGGCTGCAACATCCCAAGCTTCTATACCTTCGATATGATATGCTTCTACAGCTCCCATTGCTACATAGCACAACGTGAGCGCTGCTGTTCCTAGTGTTCTTATTCTGAAATGAAAACAATTTGTTATTATTAATAGATCTTAAGTCAATTGAAATATATATATAAAGTATAAGTGATCACTTATTTTTATCTTGTAAAGAAGATACCTAATTTAGTATCAAATTAAATAGACTAAACTGAATCCTGATGGATCCATGAACTAGATTATTTATAAAATTTATTTATATTAGAAAACGAAGTATACGTAATTTTTTTACAGTAACATGATGCTTATAACATTCTTTCTAATAAATGTGACAATGTATGATATAATAAAATTATTTTACAAATTGTGTTTTATACGAGTTTGAAGTAATGAGTTTGAAATTTGGTAATTTTGAAGTTTCTCAGACAATTACTACTTTTTCATTTTTGAATTTGCGATGATCAAATTCACAATCAATCTAACTTTCGATTTTCGCATTAGTAATTAACTATCACAACATAATGAATAATTGTTGAACATGAAATATAAAATATTTCATAAACTATTTATTTTTTTAATAATCGCATTTTAATATTTTTATACACAGAATAATAAGAGAAATTAATTGATGTGAAAAGGATCATTGTTCTAAAAAAGTATGTAATATACAATTACATATTTTTTCGAAAAAAAGCTATATTTTCTTTATGTGATTCATATATCCAATATGTTTATTTATTACGTATATGTGTAAATATACACAAATACATGTATATTTACACATACGTAATAGATAAACATATTGGATATATGTACGTTAAGATATATTTATATTCTTTAAAAGATATATTACCCGTGAGTTTTTTGTATTAAAGCGTGCATTCTGCTATATACATTCAAATACTGAGGATCTCTTGCGAGCCATGGTTCTATGGCCACCAATGATTGAGACATATCTGAAAAAATTAGACAAATTTTTTTTTACATATTTTTTATGTTTAAAATATCTTACACGTAGAGTAATTTTTTAGTTAGACAAAATAAACAAATTTAAAATTATTTGATATTCAAAAGTGATTGCTTTGCGAAGGACACAACATTAACTGTATATAGTTAGTCTGTGGTTTTAATGGTTATTAGATAACCTTCCACTGGACCGTAAAACGATGTATTTCTTACACTCATTTTCAGCAAGGTCGACATAATATAATATAATACATGGAAAACGTACATTTCTGTGTTATTGTACGTTGAACAATGTTATGCACGTTACGAGAATACTTTAAATTTATTAGATTGACTTACCTTTTACACCTGAAGTTTTTATAGGCTTCCCATTGAGGAAGGCACCACAATGTCTTCTGGCCGAAAAGAATTGTCTCATCAGAGGATTGTATATTATCCCAATTTCTATTTTCTTGTTCACTAACAACGCTAAAGAGATGCACGTATGTGGGAAACGATGTACAAAGTTGGTGGTACCGTCTATCGGATCTATTATCCATGTAGGATCATTGGTCAGTTGTGGTAAGCAGCCTTCTTTTGCTGCCGTTTCTTCTCCAATAAATCTAAAAGATTGAGTCTCGTTACAACCACCTTGTTACTGGCTTGTTATTGGCAGTTGACTGCCCATTAATCATAATAACTTACTTGTGTGATGGAAACTGTATTGACAATTGTTTTATCAATTTGTCCTCTATCTTGCGGTCATATTCCGTGACAAGATCCCAATCAACTTCTTTACTTTTGACATCTTTTTTGCTACCGATACCATCTTCTATTATCTACAAAGAATGAAATTCTTCTTTAATCTTGTATCTTATATCTTATTTTATATATCTAAATTTCTATATTATTCATCGAATGTTTTTTTTAATGAAAACTTTGATTAATTTGAAATTGATTTTTCTTTAGTTAAAATGTCATCATTTATTATTATTTTTCAATTTTTTATATCATCATATTTTTGTAGTTAAGTTAGTTAGTTATTTTGTAGTTAAATTAAGACTCTACAAAATCTATTTAAGTTAATTGAAGAATATAATTTTAGTTATTTCATATTAAAAGAATTTTTTTCATTCGCTTATAACTTGGAAATTATTATCTGATAAATTAATTATCTTATTCGAATAGAAAAAATGTTTTTTATGACTAGTAAAAAAAAAATAAAAAAAAAATATTAAAGATATTCAAATCGGTCTTAATATCTCGCACTCGTGACTCGGTATATCTCTAAGTATGCTATCTCGCAGTATAAGCTTTTGAAACATTCACTTATCATTATATTTCAGATAACCCACCTTTCCTGCGTGTAAGACTAATTCTTCGGCGACTCTGTAGCACTCGTCTAAATCATTTAGTTCACACATTTTTCCCAATCTGTCTTTCTGATACGATGACCAGAGAACGATCGCGTGTGTAAATTTATACGATTTTGACAAACACTCGTCGACCCGATACCAGAACGCTGACTGACTGACACACTGCGAGACTCTTGACTGTCAACGTGCCAGTTCAGATGCACGAGTGAATGTCGAAGGCAGAAACGACCGAAACTTATCTGACTGATGATCACGAAAGTTTTATTCCGTTTGCGATATGACGTCAGAGCGCAGGTTGGAAGGTACGTCAGTCGTAAGTTGATTACGCACGGACAAATCTGGTCTACATCCTTTATTTATTACAATTTATCCATTTCTACGTAATTCTTCGAGAAAACGGGGATATTTTTGTTCTTCCTTACATTTCTCGATTGAATCTATAATTAGATGACGCATCCTGGGACGCATGGTATTTCCTTGCGGGGAGTATTTTAAATTCTTACCTTCAGTGTGATCATTACGTACAGTTGGGAAAAAACAGATCGTAAAATTATTTCATTTCTTCCTAATTGCGAGGCTAATTATAAACATCCCGTGTGTTGTTACTATGTAATCATTTATCTTAATCATCTATCTTTTTTAACCAGGTGTTATCCAGGCTCCGAGAAAGATAGATGTGTAAACTATTTGCAAACACGGTTAAGGAAATAAATCATTTTATTCAGTTGAGATAGATTTATTATTTACCACGTATACATGAATTAATTAATGAATTTATATTCCTACTTTATTGTTTAATTGATAATATCTTTCAACAAAATAAAATCTATAACTTTCTCTCAATTTATGAGAGAATAACTTAAAATATATGCAAATATTGCAGATAATTCAATCATAACAGAAGTTTTTGGTTTTAATTTATATATTTTAAAATCATTGGCGTTATTTTGTTCTTATGTCTACACGTTCATCAACTTCATGAATAAGTTTAATGATATCACGAGCAATCCTAATATTACATGCGGCTACTGCACGTGGCTTCATGATATCGATCGGTTCGCCTGAAATAAGAAAAAGCGAAAAAGAACGTGTTATAATCATTGGAGCGTAACAAAAGGCGAAGTGGTGATAATTAAGTTTGCGATTCGAACGGCACAAAATTGTACAAATAAAAATAATAAAGTATAGGAATTGAAATTATAATAAAAGAAAATTAATAAAGTATATATAGTTATTTTTCGATATAATCAAATTTTATGGTTATTATTACGTGAGGTCTTTCCCTCAAAATGCGATTGATGCCACTTGTGTCATTGTTGTGACAAAATTTAATTGATAGGCACATATGGCACCATAATTACCTGTTATTAGATCTAGAATGACGCCTCCCGCTTCCGAAATAATCAACGATGCCGCGGCAATGTCCCACGTCGAAACGCCGGGGCCTTCGATATAATAAGCCTCCACGATCCCAAGCCCGACGTAGCATAGCGTTAATGCCACCACTCCGAGAGTGCGAATGCTTCAAGGTGAAATAAATAGTGCGAGAAACCGGAACAAGTTAAGGCGGCCTCGTTGTACAAGTCGAGACTTACCCCTGAGCCGCTTTACCGAGAGTTCGAATCCTCTCCAGCGTCTTTTCCCGTAGTTCGTCTACCTTGACGAAGCCGGATTCGATGCAGACTAAAGCTTTCGACAGGTCTGCAAAATCCCGACGTGATTACGTTATAATATAATCGCGTTGAATTAGGGCAATTAACATTCATGCACAATGATGCTTTCTAATTTTATCCTTGTGACGCATTTTCGAAGTGTTTATGTTTCTATGGATGATTACCTACTACACACTCGGAGTGTTGCAACGCGATCATTAGCAAATGTCGATCTATAATATCTGCCATTCTATAGTTTGAAAGTGAAGAGGAAAATAGCTCGAGATACAACATATCTGCAGATACATATCTTTTTTACATTCTCTAGCCGCAGGAGGACATCGGTTGTCCCACTTTCGTAATATTACATATAAAATCTTTAAATGAATCTTTTTGTTCCGAGATCTTCAGATGTGAAATCAGTTAGAGAAATCCTTTATCGCTGTGTGCGAGAAGATAGCTTATGTCATTCTCTATTCTTGACATTTTCGTACATTCTTGACATCAATCTTCGCGTATCTTATCAAATATCGCAGAGATTCTTCATTACCTGGAACTTTAGACACCTGAAGTGGTTTTCCGTTCAAGAAAGCGCCTCGTCCCTTTCTAGCCGTAAATAACTGTTCGAGAACTGGATTGTACACAATTCCAAGGACCATCTCTTTTTTCACGGCCAAACCGATAACCACGCATGTGTGCGGGAACCCATGAATGAAGTTGAGGGTGCCATCGATGGGATCTATGATCCATGTAGGGGCGTCAGTTAATTCCGGTAAATCTTTGCCGGTTGATTCCTCCCCGATAAATCTAACATGCGTGTGATCGCAATTGCAATTTTAATTCGTGCCATACTCGTGCCTTATTTAACGAATGACACGTCTGACGAGTGTCTATTACCTGTGATTTGGGAATGCCTGTTTGAGCTCGCCGATGATAAGATCTTCTATCTTTCGGTCATACTGGGTGACGAGATCCCAGTCGCCCAATTTTTGATCGATATGTTTGAGATCATTGACGGAATCTCGGAGAATCTTAAATAATCATGTCATGTTTAAGGAAATTTGCTTAAGGAAACTGAAATTTCTACATAAATTAAAATGAAAAAAATAATAGGGACAAAATGTATGATTATTTACGAGACGTAAACGCATTTTATAAATATTTTAAATATGTAATTATATAATGTCTACATATACAATTTATGCTAAAGACGATCGTTCGAATTGTGGTATTTTGTAAATTATACGATAAATTCTATTTTTCCTCAGAATATAAGACTATTCACGCTATAGCATAAAATCGTTTATCGTTTCGTCACATTTAATAGAATTCTTGAATATATTACTAATAAATCAGCACTTATCAATGCTGTTATGTTTTTTTTATTTCCTATAATTTAGTTTTCGAAGTAATAAATAACATTTGGTTGAATTTGGTTTAATGTTTATCAATTTGGACAAAGTCCTATGAATGTAGATCGATTTCGAGAGAATAAATTTTACTAGAGTAAATTTCACTAGAATTCTGCCTATCGCATAATGAATGAAAATCAAATTATAGTGAAAATCCCAATATCAAGATTATTCTTATATAGTAATTATTATTTAAAGGAAAGTTGCCAATATTAACATAGATCTTCTAGAATGACTTCCTTTTTGGACATTAAACATTGCACTTTATTAATACCGATAAAAACATCATTTATTTAGATAATTAAAGAAGTAAAAACTCATAATTCATATGATAATTTGTTATGTAGAATTATAAAGTTTGTTATATAAAATTAGCTAAAAACAAACTCGTTAAGTATGAAAATAACATTTTTATGATTTTTTTGTTTGCAAATTGTGTAATTTCAATAATAGTGGATATATTAATAATATTAAATCATTTTACATATTCATAGTTTTCTAAAATTATTTTATTTATATTTGTTTCTTATTTTTTACAATCAGCACAATTTTAAATATGAAATTTAGATGCAGCATACATCAGCACACATATTGGTAAAACAGATTATAAAAGTCAAGTTTTTTTTATACATATTTCTACATATATTTAAATATATGTACATATGTGATATATATATATTTTTGATATATGTATATATGACACGAAAATGTTATAACATATTCTTTTGCGTCGCATTTTTATGTTGTATCATTTTATTTATTGTGTAACCATGATGTTAGTATTCAGACGTAATTTACGCAATTTCATAGTAAAAATAATAACGCACATAACTAACTGGATACGTGCTATATTTTTGCGATTAATCGTGTGCATTGTTTTGTTCATTACAGGATCATTGCATCTGTGATCTATATTTGAATGTTGATATTATTCTACAATCAGTTTTGAGGATCAATCAGTTTTTCTGACGTTTATTTTTGTTTATTTTACAAAATAGTTAATTATTACATTCGAAACAGAAATTGCTATGCTTTTTAACAGAAGATAGTTTCTAATTTGCTTTTATATTTTCAAAGTTTCCAAACGCTTTCGTTTGAGAAATATTCAAAAACAGAAATGGCATATCGGTGGTTTTCCTTTAATGATCTGTAATTATTATTTTATCTATATCTTTTGATTTACAAGAAGTTATTAATAAGTAATTTCAATGAAATTTTATTAACGATGACGATGACGAAAAGTAGTTAAGATTACAAATAGCGTAAATTCCACAAAAGTTTCAGACATACGCTTCTTTATGTACATGTTAAAATATTTAGCTTTAAATCCATTCTAGAGAAATTATCTAAAGGAATATTTTACATTTAACACTAACTGCTAATATCATGACACATCTTCAAATATATAACTACCGAAACAGGAAGCAATGTTTTCCCCGATATCGCCACCATCTCTGACTCTGACAGTTATGCTACTATGATTAGTTATAGTTATCACTTAATACGCATTTTTAATTTATTTAATAACGTTGTTACTCGATGATGATTACGGAAACCCCATGTTTCATTCATTGGATGTGAGATGAGAGATTGTACTTGCCATATATGTTTACCTGGCCAGCCTCGTGTATCAATTTAATGGCAGTTTCGTAGTATACGTCCTCGGCGTACCGTGCCATTTCCTTTGCAATCTCTGTCAACGTCTGTCTCGATCTCGCCAGGAAAAGGCACGAACGTGTACTGTGTTGCCTGTTCCCGTTCTTCGTGCTTTATCACGGATCGGATCGGTTGTATCTGCCGTAGGTACGTCCTGAGAACGATAATCGAACGTATTCCGCTTCGCGCATCGAGCTTTTATCTCGAAAGATTTTGCTCGAAGTCCTCCAACAATAAAGTTGTTCAATTGCCGCTTTAAGAGAACACGTTTAAGAGAACGCTATAAATAGTGAAAATAAATTTGACTAGTTTACCCATTTGCTTGCATATGATATATCTCTAATTGTACATTAAAGGAGATGCTCTATATTTTTTGACATTAACATTTTGACATTGACATTGACATATCGTCTGTAGTGACGAGTCAATAAAACGAGACAATCAATATATTGTAAGATAATGCCTAATTGCCTCGTCGGAATTATACTGTCTCGTCGGAATTATATTGTCTTGTCTACTTTATGAGATAACGATAATTCCATTGTAAAATAGACCTTGATTATATTTTTACATCCCGTTTGAGATGTACTTAATTCCAAGCACCTGCCACTCACCACGACAATATAAAATGTCGGAATATAATTTCCGACGATGCAATTGTTTTACAAAGAGGATGAAATAATCAATGTTATCTCGCTAGTTTATTTCCCACATGATACTTAAAGTTCCTCTTTGAATGATTAAAAAAAATTACAAATTTTTAATACAATCATTTTCAGTAATCTAGGAGATACTTTAAGTAAATAAAATACTCACACTTGTACGTGATATAGTGCAATCATTAATAGCAATATAAAGTCACAGTTAAGATATGCAAATTTTGCGCTCATTTAATTGCTACCGCGAAAACTACAAGTGTCGCAAGTTCTGCATATTTAAGTTATATAATGCTCAGACAAAAATACTAATATGAAATATTAATTTATCTCTATTTTATATTTTTAAATTACGTTTGATTTGTAAAATTATTTGCAATTATTTACAAAAAAAAAAACAATATAAAAATGCTCAAATTTATATCTTTTTTTTTAAGATATATATGTACAGGGTGATTCAAATAACCTCTTGTTCTTTACAAGACATATTTCTGACCGAATTCTAAGTTGATTTTTTTTTTTTAATAATATTTAGTAAGACTTAGTTCTCGAGTCATAAAAATAAATAATGTGCGTATTACGAACCGGGTATAAAAAGGTAGACGGAGATGGCAACACAATTTATCGTCAAACGCGAGCGTTCTGCATAAGTGCTATGTAAGCGTTAATATATGACGGTGAGTTGCGCCATTTCTGCCTACCTTTTATACTCGATACGGGATTAGCTGTTTTGTTTTCTTCAATAATTTGAAAACTAAACTTTAAATAAAATTTTATCAAGAAAAAATCTCTCTCTCTCTCTCTCTCTCTCTCTCTCTCTGTATTTCATTTGTGTATCTCTATTTGTGTGCGCGCGCGTACGTAGAGCGTACGCACACACAAATATTTGTTTTAGTTATGTAGTTTTAGTATGAATTATTTATAATATTTGTCTCATTAATGCTTCACTATTATTATTCTGAAATTATTACCAAAAGATAAAGTGAATATTGCTAGTAATTCTGGAGAATATATTGCTTATGACAGAAGAATCTCTCGAGAATGTGATCTACTGATAATTATGCTACTTTTTATTACGTGATTATTATACTTTTTTTTTTACATGTTTCCTTAATGATGTTGTTGATTGACGCATAAATATTTTTTTACCTTGATATTAGGAAATTATCTCCGTAATCTTGATTATTATTTTTCTGTATTTTTCTGATTTTTGAATTTTACATTTATTGTTTCTATATTTCCTTAAATATATTTAAATTATATTTTCTTAAATTTTTTGTTTGCGATTTACATTTTTGTATTACCTATAGTACATTATTATCTATATGATCGATGCAATTCATTCTGATTATATTTACATTTCTAACTGTTTCAACGTACTTTTGCAGTTATCTTTTATTTTAAGAAAAATATGGAAACGTGTTTATTTTTTCTTAAGAATTAGAATTGAGCTTTAATTAAACCTATTATTTCAATTATTGCTTTTTTAAATAATTCTTTTAGTAATCTTATAATAGTATTTTTTTGTTTATCTATATATGTATATCACAATAATTCAGAAAACATATAAGATGCAATTGAAAATGGAATTAAAATAATTGAATCTACAAAATTAACTCTGTAAATATACTAAATATGAAAAATATCGTAAATATTTATATTAAATATGTCGTCATGAGAAATTGATAAAGCACTTTTTATGACACATGAATGACAATATTTGGAAAAAGAACCATATTATTATAATAGGAATATATTATTATAATTGGAAAAGAACTATATTATTGACCAAAACTATTTGGAAATAATAATTTCCTTATTTTCTCATTATCTTATCTTCCAATGTATTTTGTGAAATTTTTATAATAGAACAATATACTAATTAAATGAATTAATTATATTAAAATATATTTCAGATTTAAATAAAAATAATTGAAAGATGTTATTAATTAGTTATAACTATTCAGAAATGTTACCAATGTTATTAACCTATAATAGTTATTTAAAAAAAATTTTTTACAAGAAGAATAATTTAAATATTAAATATAAATTTGGTTGGATTTTGTATAATTATTTAAATCGATATTTATTGCAAATCACTCGTGCTCATATAAATGTATGCATCATATGTTTTTTTTACTAAAAAAGTTAATGGTTTTGTATAATGCGTGATCATGTAAGATTGCTTACGATTTATGCGCGCTCTATTCTAGTTTTTGAATAAACAATTCTATTTATACATTAACTTGTAATTTGTCACGCAACAAAATGAAATGAAACAATTTTTTATCTAATCACGCTTCATATTATATCAGTATAAATATTATATATGTTATCATATTAGCAAAATATTGTAAACCTATGTGTTATCTTGAATTTCAATTTATTTACGAACAATTATTTAATATAATATCATGCTACCTTAATGTAAAACATGTTTATATTGAATAAATTTCATTATTTTAAGATACATATTATTACATCACCGATATCTGTGATATATCTGTGATCTTTTAGTATAATGAATTTTAAAAGCTTATAGTGTAATAATATTTGTCAATAGAGTTTGCGTTTCATAAAAATTTTATTTTATTTATAACAATGACAATAGAAAAATCAAACATTAAGAAAACTGGAAAAGATTATATTACTTTCCTTTCACAGCATTGTAATGGCACACTGATTAACGCAATCGGGTTTTACATGACACTTGTAAATGCGTCAATGAGACTTTTCAACGGAAACTCCTTTAGACTGGTTTTTATAAATAATTTCCTTATATTACGTGATAGCTATATGTTTCCTCTTGTGCTGCGTCTCCTTCTGCTTTATACTCAGCTTTTGAATTAATTAATGAGTCATTTTATGCCTTATCTCAGGTTCTCTTAAGTCTTTTTCTTTGCGTTTTTAAATCAATATCAATAATAAATTTAGATAGCTCTCGTGCTAGAGTTTCGCTTGATGCTGCTATAGTTTTTGGTTTCATAACATTATATTCACCACCTATGAAAATGATTATAATGTTTTACTTATAATCAGATAACATTAATTTTTATGCTTTATCTTCTAATAATTATTATTTTTAGTCTCTAATTATATTATAATTTGTTATATTTATATGTCCTATTTATTAAATAAACATCTTGTATCTTTTACTTTATCGTTAAAAAAAATTTGATTAGCGTGTATAATGATTACGATATAAAATTATATAAGCAATAATTATAAAATGACAATATTTGCAAAATGACATTTGCAAATTAAATATTGTTCACATTAATTTTAAATTATTTTAAATATTTTAATTAATTTTAAGTTTTTCAAAAAAACGCAATTCTTTTTTTCTGATAATTAAATTTGAAATTAATTTTATGAATATTACTTATTTTCTGGATAATAAATACTATTACAAAGTTTTTTTAAAAACCTTCGCATGTCAAATTTATGATTTATAATTATAAAAGGATTTTCGTAAAATTTGATGATATACTCGTTCATTAATTTGTCGTTTACGTTATGTACCTTTCGTATCTATAACAATCCCACCCGCTTCACGTATAATCAACGTTCCTGCTGCCACATCCCATGGTTTGAGGTCATCTAAATGAAAAGAGTCTAACGCACCCCGTGCCACGTAAGCCATGGCCATCGCAGCTGATCCGATATTTCTCACCCTGAATTAAGAAAGAATGCGTAAAAAAGATCTTTCCAAAATAATTGCTGGATATATAATTATGTTTTTTTACTTACCCCTGCGTAATTTCGACCAAGGCATTTATCCTGCCTGTATATATGTCTTTGTTCGCTCCTACTGAAATTACGAGTGCAATTGACGTCTCGAGCCCTATCAGTGCTTCCTTCAATTCTGCAAAAAAAATTCGTGCGATAAAAGTACCATTTTTTTATGATGTATTTAGATGTATGATTTCTTTTTCCATATGCCACGGTATTATTACGGTTCTTCTCGGAATAAATCAATCGTATGAACATAAATCATAATGAATGATGTAAGGGTCAGATGTCTCACTTTCGGATAAATTTATTTACTGGCTAAAGTTGCGAGGAAGAAAGAGAGAGAGCTCGAAAGAGTGAGAGTAAGCGATGATTTATCGTGAGATGGAACAATCTTAATATATACATAATTCCAGGATCTTGATATTAAAAATAAATTGTTGAATGTAACATTTACTAGCTCTGAGAAAAATATGTGCGACGGAAATTAAATGTAGTGAATTGCAGAGATTGTACAAATTATAGCGACGATTACAAAGTGGTAAATATTACACAATATCCTTGGATTTCCAATCTTTTATGTTTTGTTGCAAAAATTGGCATTAACCTCGAAGATATACATTGACAATATTGTTTTTATTATTAAATTTGCATTACCGGTAACTTTAGAGCAGCAAATCGGTTTTCCATTGAGAAAAGCACCTTTGCCCTTTATCGCGCTGTAGAACTCCGAGTGCATAGGATTATAGATAATGCCTAGGACAAGCTCTTTACAGATCATCAAACCTACGGATATGCAAAACTGAGGAAACGAGTGTATGAAGTTGGTTGTTCCGTCAATCGGATCGATAAACCACGTCGGTGCGTCTGTCAATTCTGGCATTTCCAGCATTTTAGCTGCCGCTTCTTCTGCAATAATCCTAAAATGCGAGATGTTTTAACATTTTTAATAATAAAACGTAATATTACTTTAAACATAAAATTAATTAAACTTGATTGCGTAACTTGATTTCTCGTCTATTCTTACGTGAAAGAAATGATAACTCACTTGTGATTAGGAAATTCCTTGGACAAATTATCAAAAAATAGTTTCTCAATTTTGTTATCAAAATCGGTTACAAAATCATTTTTATTTTTTACATATACAACCTTTTCTTCCTCGCAATGACATTTGATTATCTGCGTAGATAAATAATATAAAATGTATGATAAATATAATACATTATAAATAAGAAAATTGACTTTCTATAATTCAAATTTTTTTTGTGCTTAAAAAATGAAATAGGAGGACTTAAAAATATAGATGTGTGGATATATGACTTCAAAGTTATATGGCGTAATAGAAGAATAAAAGAAATTATTATCAACATAGGCTACTATAATTTCTTAAAAATTTAAAGATGACAAGATTTTAGTTTGTACATTGACATTTTGACTATTTTAATCTGGAAAATTCATGTAAAGCATCAAATATTTATTTCTTTTCAAAGATCTTAAAAGTAAAAAAGATATCATCAATTATTATTATAATATCTTTTTGTACAGCATTGTACAGGAATAATTTAAGATTAATTTGAAATTTTCAATCATTCCAAACTCTTTCTTTTTATATACAAAAAGAACAGTTTTACTAAAGTACATAAAAATGTAGCTAATTATCGAAATAATTAGCTAAATATAATGATTATATTGCAAAAATTTTTTATATTCCAGCAACTAATTTGAATATTTATATACATATGCATGCATACATGTATGTATGTATGTGTAAAACACACACACACACACACACACACACACACACACACACAGTGACAGACTTTATTCATCATTTAATTCCAAACTAGGAAGTTGTATAATTTTCCGTTTATGTATCAGTTGTGACTCACCTGACCAGCTTGAAGTGTGAGTTCTTTCGCGATCTCAAAGTACCTTGCGATATCCGGATCACTCGACATGACGGCCGATGCTGAGAATTGTGCCGATACGACTGATCGATTCACCGTGAAATCTGTTATAAATGATGAGGATCGTAATCTCACTTTCCTTATCTCTGTAATTAGTGATATTTGATAGCACAAATAACGTGGATAAACAAATCTTAATATCGTGGATGGACTCACACGCATATTTCATTGTAAATTGTTGCTTATCGGGATTTAAAAAAAAAAATTATGATCATGTTTGAAGTTTGTTAAATTACATAACGGCGCAAGAAGTGTGCTCTTTCCCTTCTCTCCGTCATATTTGGTGTTTTTCTTTCTTTTCTTACTGACACTATATTCATTCCTATAGTATATTCACTTTTATTGCAAATATAGCTTACGCAATTGTCATATTAAGCGCGAGTTTTAACGCAAAATAATAACATTTATTTCTCCTGCAATTATGATTTATTTATTCTAACAAGAGGAATCTTATATTTAAATCAATATTATTGCATTAAACGTTTCTATTCACATTCGGTTACAACATATTTAATACATATTTATTTCTAACTCGTCAGATAATTGCAATAACAGTGCGATGTTGATAGGATATCAGAGAGTAGAAGGAAAATAATACGTTCTACTTACTATTTTCGATAATTGTACAGGTGCGTTATTTTTTTAATATACTTTCAATATTGTTCGCCGGTAGGCTTGGTTAGGCCCGCTGCTCTCAAACTAGCGAGACATACTCCTATGAGCTGGCCTCGCGTGCCTCTCTTACAATTAGCGTTATTAATCCTATGCATGACCTTTATTTGTTCGGTATTCTGATTTGTTTACCGTATACATTGCGTTTACCGTTTTACAGCAATTTTCACTCGTAATTGAATGTATTACGCTCCGTTTCAAGTTCAAATACTAGACATGCGCATCTTTATCTCATTATCGTCAATGATCTTTAGTTATCATACTATTTTTTTAAAATGTAATTAATATTTAGATAATTTTGATAAAAATTGCATTTTACTAAATGCATTTTACTAAAAACGTGTACCGAGCTATTTTGACTAAAATATTTTATATGTGTTTAGTAAAAACATTTTTTTTTTACAAGACGTTATTCCAAATTTTATTTTCGATACTTTAATAGAGAGGAACATTACTTTGCAGTTTGTAATAACAGCATTTTCTGATGTGTTTTAAGATCCGCGTGTTTTATTAGTTTCACGAGTTCTTTTGCTAATTTGCAATTACCGACTGCTAGCAACTTCGGTGACATAACGTTGAATTCTCCACCTAATCGAAACAAGAAATACAATTTCAAAGGAATGTAACAATTCAAACTGATAAATATATTTCTTTATACTTGGATGTGAGAGAATTAATGTGACATGAACATTTAAAAAACGATAAGTGTTTTTAACTCAAGAAGTATGATGCGTGATAATTTATATAGAGAAATATGTATAATGTTGTACCATTTGTGTCGATCACTATACCGCCAGCCTCTCTGATTATAAGTACACCTGCAGCAACGTCCCATGGCATCAGATTGTCAGAATGATATCCTTCGACAGTCCCCATGGCAACGTGACACAGGGTTAATGCCGCTGAACCCATGGTCCTTATTCCATGCGCTATCGAGACAAAGGCTTCCAATCTTCCTAGAATAATATCGCGAATATCTTCGATAGTCGCATATGAAGTCTCCAAGCATAATAAAGAATGTTTAAGTTCTGTTTAAAATAAAATAGTATTATTTTTCCAATTGTTATATATCGATATATTTTATATAAAAGTTGAGAATTTCTATTATGAAAAGTAAAAATAAATTTATATTATATGAAGTCACCCTCTACGCTCGAGCTCTTAATCGGTTTTTCATTGAGAAATGCCCCATGACCTCTTCTGGCTGTGAATAACTGTTTTAAAACGGGATTGTAAACTATTCCAATCTCGAGTTCTTTATTCACAGCTAATGCGATTGATACGCAAGTATACGGGAAAGAGTGTACGAAGTTCGTTGTTCCATCGATCGGATCTATAATCCATGTAGGTGTGTCCGTAAGTTCTGGCAAAAAATTAGAACGTGACACTGTCTCTTCGGCAATAAATCTGACAAACATGCACAACAATTTTTTTAAATAAATAAATTAATTGTAACTAAACTAGATAATTGTAGATTGTAGTTATTATGAAATTATTTATATTAAAAATTTAGTCACTTGTGCGTTGGAAATCTCTTTGCTAAATTGTCAATTAAAATAGCTTCGACTTTTCTGTCATATTGCGTCACCAAATCCCAATCGCCAGCTTTTGTTTCAACTATTTTAGATCCTTGAAAAGCGTCATGAATCACCTGGAAGTAATGTTGCACATGTCTGTTAGCTTAAGCTGTTGTTTCTTACAAAAATAATTTTTTAAATTAATAATATTAATGTTTTTTTTTTCTCTTTCTTTCTTTAGATAAACGATTCATCAATTATAATTTTCCTAACGATATACAGCATGTATATAGAAATTGCTTAATATAATGAATCTGATAATTCTATCGTATAATAAATTAATCAAACAAAATTACATTATTGAACATTTTTTGCGTTTATTAATAACTTTTTGAAGCATGCTTACATAATACTATTTATACCTATATGATAAACGTAAAAGAATTTTTATATTCTGCATTGAGAAATCTTATTCGCTTATTTTTTAATAAATATATGTTTATCAATTTTATAAGATTTATTAGACATTTTTTATAAATCCTGATT